TCCTTCCTTCCTTCCTTCCTTCCTTCCTTCCTTCCTTCCTTCCTTCCTTCCTTCCTTCCTTCCTTCCTTCCCTCTCTCCCTCCTTCTTTCCTTCTTTTTGATGGGCTCTCCATCTTTGCAGATTTGGGGATAGAGATTGGGAAGCCCCCTTTCACAAAAGGCTTAACTCGCTTCTCTGCACATTGCTGAGGGTTGGGATAGATGACTCTTAGGGATCCCTCCTGAATCATATCATTCTATGATTCTAATACATCCAGACCCGTTCAAACACCAGTGGCTTGAAGTCAAGTTGCAAAACGGCCGTTTCTGGACGGCAGCTTTGAAAACTTTTTCATACAGCCAGAATCTGAATTGAACGAAACAATTCTGTGAAGTTTAATATCTTCCCATCCTCCGGCCCCACCCTGTCCAAGCCCACCACCGCTCCCCAAACTCCAAAACACCACGCCATTGGATGAATCTCCCACCCCATAACCATACTTGCCATGAAATACAACCCTGATTTCTCCAATTAGCCTCAAACAGATGCGGCCGTGCAACCGACTAAGCCTTCAACGCGAAATATCAAACTGCGCCGAACCGAAAGGCAGGATGCTGGTGGATTCCTGCAATGTGGGAACTGGGTAAACCAGGGCTGTTTCTCAACTGTGAATGATGATTGGAGGAATGTAAAATAAGCAATGCACACACACACACCCCCCCTCCCAAAGATTTGAAATTTAAGTCACAATCCACCTAGCAGCTGTTCCGGGTCTGGTTAGCTTCTTCCAGCAAATTGCAAGGACCCAAGTAAAAGAGACCCGAAGGGGCAGTTTTCAGCTGCTGCCATAGCAACAGAGCCAGCATTCCTAGAAGGGTGGGGGCTGGGTCTTCTCCACCAATGGAGCATCGCTTGCCAGGCTGTTCCATTTCTAACTGTGGTTTGATTCGAGGAAGCCCACCCCCTCCCCGGCCTGCTCCACCAATCAGGCCCTCCGCCAGCTGAGCTTTGTGGAAGGAGCCCTGCCAACGTTGTGGAGGACAGGAAGCAGAAGGTGATTCCAAGCCAGGGTCCCTCTCCCCAACACCCCTTCCCAGCTTCCCATTGGGGCTGAGAAGATGCAACATCTTTTGTGAGCATCTTGGAAGATGTGCGCAAGCTGCAAGCCCGCCAGCCTCAAGGGTTGACAGTCAGGGCTCTGCAGGCAGAAGGGTGTACAAAATTGGAGGCTGGTTGCAAACATGTAGAAGTAAGACAAAAGTTAAGACAAAGACACATTCCTTGTGTGTCTGATCACACTTGGCCAATAAAGAATTCTATTCTAAAGCAGACAACAACTGAACCCCAAATTCCCACTACTGAGCAAGACAGCTTCCGGGCGACTTGGGCCCTGTTTTATGACCTTTCTTGCCACTGTTGTTAAGCAAACCGCCGCACTTGTTAGTAACCTGATTGTTAAGTCATCTGGCTTAACAATCATTGACTTCAGTTGTCAGCAGGTTGCAAAAAGGGGCCCCCGCAACTGTCGTAAGTACATGCCAGTGGCCAAGCCTCTGAATTTTGATCACGTGATCTTGGGAATATTGCAACGGTTGGGTGAAAAACAGACCCGAGTCTCTCTTTTTTTCAGTGCCTCTATAAGTTGAAACAGTCACTAAACAAATGGTTATAAGTCAGGAACCGCCTGTACGCTTAGTGACCGAATGTTCCCACTGCTTTTGAGTAGTGGGGAGAAATTTGCTTCCTTATTTCCTCCTGGAACACAGACTCAGACAGAGAACACAAAAGAGCTGATCTGAAATTAACCGCTTGCCACCAAAAACGGGAAGCAAAAATTTACCAACAAATAACACGAACGAGTTGCAGTAACTTAATTCTCCTAACGCAAAGGACACTTTTTTCCCCCACCCTGGTAGTAAATGTATAGATAATTTTACACCTAGGGGTGCCAGAAAATTAAAATTGCTTCCCTTTTGGATGAGAAGCGTTTCACAGTCCAGGCTGAGG